TCATATAAATATTTAATCTCATATAAATATATAACTCATATAAATATTTAATCCATCCCCAGAACCATGGATCAATTTTTTTAGCAAGCAGATCACGAGCGGCGGAAGATGTATAGTGAACTATTGAAGAGGATGCAGCGTGCCAAAGAATTGAAAGTCGTTGTTGAAAAATTGGAAGTTAGAAGAAATATAGCAGAGAGTAAGGGAAAAGAACTGCGGCCCAAGAAGGTTACATTGCATATATCTCGATGTGCAGAATTTTCTTTTGTTGTTCCGTTTTATCCATATTTCTTCTCTCTAAATTAGTTCTATCTCAGCTGCTCATAAGCTTCTTTTTTTTTTATTTAACTTCATTTTACTAGTCAGTAGTTATCTTTATGTGGCTTCTGTATTTGCATTTTTAGATAACGAAAGGGGAACTGATGAAAGCACCAGTATATAAATGGATTTATGAACGAAAAAAGTAATTGTTTTGCTGTTTTTTTCTTGTTCTTTTTGGATACAATAAACTTTTAATGGCTTTAACTCAATGTTACATGATAAAACACTCTGTAAATGGATTCATGAACAATAAAAATTGTTTCGAACTTTTCGTTATTCTGTTCGGATATGGCAAACTTTTAGAAGCATTTCGAGGTTGCGTAATCTTGAAGAAAAATATGTAATAATGTCTTCGCTCTTTGCCTTGATCGTTTGCACTTTCAGTTGATAAATATTTCATTACTTTTGTAATATTTTTTTCACGACAGGAAAATTCGGTTTATATATTTATGGCGATGTGAGTTATTTTTCACCCTTTTTTAGATGAATATTGTCGTACACGCATAATATTGCAGTGAATATCAACGTAATATGCGATGTTGAGTGACAATAGCATTACATGGAAGTTTTAAAAATGAAAAGCTATTTCTATATATAACGCGTAATAATTATCTCACGAATTGCCTTTTCTGTCTTATTCACTATATTTAAAAGCGGTGTTACCTCGATTCTACTTTTAAATTTAAGAACTATAGATGTCAACACGTGACCGCATGGGTTATTTGAGGTTCCCTTTTAGCCAAAGCAATACTATGTGTCTTATCAGGTAAAAGTGTAATTGTTCATCCGTAAATCAGGGATTTTAGAAACGTCCTGCATAATTTCAAGTCTGGAATTGCAAAAAACTCCCGGATCATAAAAATAGGTTTTTGCTGTTGTACAGTCTTTGAATAGAAATTGCGCAGTTAATGCATTGTTTCAATTTTTGATTAGCAGTAAAATCACTTTGCAATAAGAAATAAGGCATTTTAAAAAAAGTATTTGCGATGATGCACACTATTTAGGTAACAATTTGGTATTTTTAGGGATCATTTGAAGGCGATTTCACTAAGTTGTTATCATCTGCTGGAATCACTATCAATGCACTAAAATCTGACCCGCCGGACTCGTTACCCGGACTTACTGACCTGAAAATGAATTTAGGTGTAGATATTTACGACACTTAGTTCCAGGAATGCATATAATACTCCTATCATGTAAAATAGTTTCGTAATTTCTGTAATAGTTCATATCACTGTTGTGTATTTGTCTTCCGCAAAACTCTGTCTTTTTAGGATTGCGTTTGATAGATGATTATTTTTCTAAAATTAAAAAGAATATTTAACCTCTGCGGTAAATCAACATTTAATTCGCCTGATACAGTTTTCCGCATATGAGATGAATTAGAATCCGTACTAAAACTGTTTGATGTACGTCTCATACGTCGCATTTCTCCATAAAAGCCATCTCTCACTGATGAATATACCTGTAATTTGAAAATTTTTGAATTATTTCGTAGTTAGAAAAGTTACAAAAAAGACAAACAAAATTTTAGCATTTTTCTTTTGAAATATCATCTACATGGCTGTATTTTAAAAATGGATTTTAGAATCTAAACCATAGTAATGAATGAAGAAAATGCGGTAAGAGTTTGATGCGCGGGATGCATAGCATTGTCCAGGAATATACATTCAGTAATGGTAGCATCAGCATAAACTCCGAAAAATTCAGGCTTAAAACCGAGAACTCGAAACTTGACGTGTTTCCCACCGAATTCTTCTGCTAATCGTTGAACCTGAAAGCTTAATTAATCCTATCTATGGAAATTTCAAAAATTCTTCCCTGCTTTTAGAAATGTAAGTGGAATTGGAATATATTTCTTGTTAAATGTATGAATATATTCCTTGGTCACAGTTAAATTTTTGAGTGAATCAAATAAAATTTGAATATTTGATGCATTAAAAATGAAAAGCCAATAAAAATTGCATTTCCAATTAGTTTGAATTTCCAGTGAAAATAATGATGTAGTTTACAAGATCTGGTCAATTTTTAAATTATATCAACGGTAAATTTCGAAATTCAGTGAAGCAATTATATTTTAAATTCTTCGATTGAAAGAATTTCCGAGAAATTAAATTGCTTAAATTTGTATAAATTATAAAAATTCAAACATTTTGTGTAAAATTACTTGTAAATAGTGTGCTATTACTCACCTCATCTATAAAATTAATATTTGCGACAGTTTTCTTTAGAAGCACTTTAATTCCCTCCTCAATGTCATCCTTCTCATCGCTGCTCAATTTATCATAGAACTTTGCAAAGCCATTCCGCTTTTCATACACTCGTTGTAAAATTTTATGGCCAATAATTTCGTGTGGATTTTGGAAACAACTCTGAAACCGTCATTTATGGCTTAAATATAACGAACTAAAGCAATTTAATCGAATCATTCCAATAATTAAACAAAATAAAATTTGCTTTGCTTTGAAAAAGTTTTTTTCCTAATCAAATTAAATTAAATTTTCTTCCGTTAAAATTCTTCATTTCTTCATTTTGTTCACTTTTATTATCAAAATTAATTCCTTTTTAATGGATTAATTACATGCATAAATAAATATCTTGCCGTTTGCATTACTTGCTTAATTCAAAGCATTCATTAAGTTAATTTCTATTATTGGAAAAAGAAAAATTATTTTTTTAGATTGGTTTGTTGAAGTTGACCTTTAATCATTGGAACCCATATTCATATTTTTTTTATTAGCTGTGCATGTTTACTTCAAATTCCTTTTTAAGTTTTATCCTTAGAAATTCAGTTAGTTAGCTGAAACCTGTTTATTTTTTTAATTACCTGGTGACTTACCGCATTACCTGCACTTTTTGTTTACTTATTTACCAGATTAATTAAATGCTTTCCTATAAAATGTCCCATTTATTTGTGCATATTATCTATCCTTCTTTTTGACAACTTTATTTAAATCCATTTTCTTTTTCTTCACTCTCATTTTTTTCGTATAATTGTTCACAGTGATGCATTCAACAAAAATTAGGCATCACATCATATAGCTATTCACAGCAAATTTATGAATTGAATAAGCTGAGGACTTACGTCAGTTTTTTATGGCTTCATTAGGTAAATAAGTAAACAGAGTATTTAATTAATTGATTCGCGTTTTTTTCCCTTTTTATTCTCTTACTATTAACTTTGATGAATATTCATGATTTAATTTAAAGCAAAATTTCTATCTCATAATTTCTGATCATAGAGAAAGCGAAAAATTCGAAATGGAAAAACTGTTTTACTCTTTTCGAATGTGGAATTTTTTTCAAAATTATAGAACTTTTCTAAAGTATTCCAGGTTTTCGATGTAATTATCGTTAGAAATTATTTATGCAACAAGATTTTCTTTTTTTTTTGATTTGTAACAAATGATTCACCAATTGGACCATCTGTCGTAATGCTTCCACTGTTATCCGGAAATGATTTCATACCTTCCATGTCATTGCCGGCCTATCTTCTCTTGATTTACTTGCTTCCAGTTTCCACAAATGGAGAAACTGCTTTACTACGTGTATGATCTTTTTGAAGATCGACCGTATAATCGCTTTCTTCTTCACAAGTAACAATCGGCAACTTCTTTGATAAGCAATTAAATATATCATTCGATCCTTAGAAATCCTGCAAATTGTCATTAAGAGCGATACCTGAATAAGGTTTCGGTTACGGATAGAAATTGGATGCTTTTGCCTCGACATACTTCGTGAACTGCATATGCTTCCAGAACGACCACGATTGATATTCAGTTCTAATGAAGATCTCGATGAATTTCCCGCTCGGATGCCATAATCTATAAGTCGTAACATTTAGTTATATAATACATTTATATCATAATTTATTACTTAATCCTTCATTTATGCTTGGGAATTCTATTAACAAAGGTTTTGAGTGTTTTCAGATTTGCAAAGTTCATTTTTATTGAACTTTATTGGAGCCTTTTTTTTGTATTATTTAGGTTTAAATATAATTTGTTTTGCTAATATCATAATGAATCCTTTGACCTTATTTATCTATTTGACATCTATCTGACAAACAAGTATACAATTTTTAACTGAAATATCTCTAACAATGAAGCAGAATTAGATTGACTATCCTATTTTGCAACTTACTTTGACATGAAGTAAACAACCTATAAAAACGAAAACGATTGGCTCACATTTTTTTTCTTTTTAGTAGTATCTAATTTTTGGTAGTAATAAATGGGAAAAAAAAATCCTCTTTCCAGGTTTATGAAAATTTTAAATTGGCTTCTTAATTTTTCACTCCCGGTTTACAATAAGGGAAACAGGAAAGGATGAATGGTTAACCTTTTATAATCTTTCAAACTATCCCATTATAATGTTGCATCGAATATAAGCCGACTGTGAAAAATGAATTTAAATTCAACTGACTACTTGTTATGAGCTGAATATTAACATTTTGGGTTTTTTTAATTGTCTTTACTCTGAGATGAAATCTCAAGCAGCATATAATTGAAGCGAATGTTAACACTTCAATTACACATTAGAAATTTTCTATGATACAGTAATACTTACCAACATTAAGCAGATTATCAGTGCTGTTGATCGAATCAGCAGTTTTAACTATTGGAGGTATAATATGTTGTCCACTTCGATTTGTTGTTGATTTCTTACTTCCTGTCGATTTCGAATGTCGAATTTTTGATGCTTCGCTCCCCATAAATAATATATGATCGTCAATTTTCTTTCTTCTTAAATTTGCGCATCACTTAGTATTTATTTATTTTTAAAACTGTTTGAAAGTTTCAATTGTAACACTCATAATTTAAACAAATTAGTGAAATCATTATTAAATAAATTTTTGTTAAAAAAATATTTCCAACAAAATATGGCTGATCATTAATATTTGTCAGCAAATATTATTTTATTATTTTACAAATTTTCTAACTTACTTGGGAGAATGAATTATTTGATATGATCCAATAGATTATGGAAAAGTAGCTGGGAACAGGTTAAATTACTTTAAAACAATATCCCTGAAATATCACACATTTCATATCATAGAGCATCTTGATAAATACTGTCAATACTGTATCAGTAGATTATTAATAAGCATCATATGAAGAAGTAGTTGAGAAAATATTGGAAAAATCAAATTTTAATTCAAACGAAATTTTGCTTCAAATATTCCTTCATTGTATAAAATGTAATGATAAGGAAAATATTTTGCATAATGAAAGATATGGAAAAATAAGTGATAAATGATGACTGATACAGTGTGATGTATAAACGTGATACGTGATACAGGGTCTGATAGTTTAAAACTTTTTCGAAAATTGAAAAAATGTGATAGTATTAAGGAGTCAATCATTAGTGTGTGACATGAGTCAGCACAAAAAGCTTTTGACGATGCAAATTATTTACATGTCAACATTGGTGATAGAGACTATAAAACGAAATAATTTATTTCGATTATTCATTTCCTAATACATGAAGAAAAAAGAACTTTTTGAATTTGAAAAGTAATGAATTTATCACATACATTTATTTTTCCTCAACTTTTATATGGAAAAGAAAAAGAAAACTTCATGTTTGATTCTGTTGTCATTTCCAAATTTCTTCAGTTTAATCCGCAAAAAATGGAATGGGAAAGATAATTATTCGAATTTTTATCAAAACAATAATCAGATTAGTAAAATAATAATTGATTTTATATTGGTTACAACCGAAATTACCCGAACCAAATTGATAAGGAAATTGGACCGAAAAGAAAGAAAAAAAGAATCATTTCCGATTTAATGTCCACTAAAATTCGGATATAATGTCCACTAAATTCTATACATATGCAAAATATAGCACCAAGAGTACATTATAATATTAAAAAAATCTTCCAACATTCCGGAAGTTTATATTGCCGGAAAATTCTTCATCTTTTCCAAATCTAAAACATTAGACTTAAATGTTTAATTATACTATGAGGTTTCCAATTTTAATTGAATTTTAATTTTTTGAATTTTAGGAGAGAATGAGTAAGATATCCACTGAAAATGCAAAATAATAAATGATAGTCCCTTTTTTCTTTGTTTCTTTCAAATAGATAATTTTTGCACTTTAAAAATACATTTCGAAAATTAAAGGTGAACATTTTACTCCAGCTAATTAGTTGAAGGTAAACATTTTTTTTGGATTTCAAATTTTATCACTTTTTTGAATAGAACAACAAATAAATATCTTGGCCAAGTAATGTAAACTTTCCATTTATTTAATGGATCTGCAATGATTAGCAAACATTGAGTGGAGTTAATGGCATGATCAAAGTGATATTTCGATGAAGTTGAAATTTCGTTAAGTTTATTCGTTTTAAATTGTAGCAGAAAATTCACATCATTATTTCGTCGACAAATGGCATAAACATCCCTTTCAATGGTTATTCAACTCCTTTCACTGATTCAATTATTCGGCCTATCAGCAATAAAGTCTTTTTCACGCCTAGGCTCCTTTTCCGTGCATGCATTCACTATCCCATAAAGAAATAATGTGCCATTGAATTTAATGATATTAATATTGTGGTAAATAAATATTTATATGCTGGGTTAACACCAATGAAGTTACAGCAATAAAACGAGCAATACCGGGAAATTACCGGAAAATGAATTTTCTTATTGAGTGAATAATCCAAGTAGATTTCAATGAATAAAGTTTTGAAAAATATATTGAATTGGAAGAATAGAACAGGAAATGGAAAACTTTGCAATCTTGCAGTTAAACTATTTCTAAATGATTTTATAGGTTTAAACCTATCCATTAATGCGACTTAAAAAATGTATTACTTAAGATATGCAAACAAAAAAGTGAAAGTGCTTAATGAATAATGCAACGTTTTGTATTGTAAGAAAGATGCTAAATAAATAATTGAATTAATTAATTAATTAGCACAATCCTAATTAATTTTTTTAATTGTTACTTTAGTTAAAAATGTTGAAATGACAAATGGTAAAATATATGCATAAATTAAGCAAAAATCAAGTAAATGAAGATTATTGGCAATTTCGGGTGTATATTATCCAACAAATAAAGAGAACTTTATTTTCTATCTATAGGAAAGAAAGTGATGGAAACGCAAGAATCCATGAAAGAAATGCTATGAGTGTTTTTTAAATGAATTCCTTTGTGGATGAATTCCTCTCGAAAAATTAAATAATTTTATAAACGAAATTATTGCTGTCTCCATAGCATTACAAATGCGCTTTCTTTAAAAAATTATTGAAATTTTTTGGCTTCGACTTAAACTTGAAATATTATTCAAATGTAATGAATATTTTACGTAAAGAATATATTTTTGTCGGTACAGAAAAAAAAGAAAAAGAAGTTTAATAAGGTATTGATGAAGATTTAAAAAAGATTAAAAGTGCTATAATAATTTGCATTATTAACACATTTCTAATATCTTTTCAAACATACAATTTCAAATTTTTCAAAATTTTTTGCCTTAGAATTTTTATTTTCATTTTTATTTTTATGATTGACTTTGGTAAGCGATTAATTTAGTGAACTGTAAAGTAAAGGGAATTAAATGAAAATGTGTTTATTATTGTTATTATTGAACAACATTTGATCAAAGCATAAAAATCTGCTTGTATTTATTTATTTGTTTATTTATCCATTTGTTTGTCTGCTTATTTGTTTGTTTATTTGCTTATTCGTCCATTTACTTATTTATTAATTTATTTATTTATTTAGTCTATTTGTTTATTTATTTATTTTTTTTTTACTTACACCATGGGATCAAATGTATTTTAATGAGCCACAAGAGAATAAGTGGGAAAAATTAGCATAGCTAATGAATAATATTATATTGAATTATATTAAGTGGAATTGGAAAATATTAAAAGGAATTGGCCATTTTTATTAGGATGAGAGTTAGACTATTGCAATGCTCTGAAGTAGAAAAAAGCTATGATAGATGATAAATCTTGTAGAATATTATGGCCCTGACCCTCAGAAAAGATTTATTGGTACCATAAATACAGCCAACGAATCGTTCTAATCCCTGGGATTAACACAAATCCTTTGAAGGCAATTTTTTGACGAATACTTGCTTAGTAAAGGGTATGAAATAGGCAATTTAAAATTAAAAAAAAAAAGAAAAAACTGAGCTAATTTGAATGGCGTGGCTTTGCCTTTCTTACATCTTTCACAACCATCCTCTATAAATGGTGCGACATTTTCTTCTTTCCAAGTTTGTTAAAAAAATAAACTTTGTAAACAACTTAGTTCTAATTTTTATGGACAAAATTTTGATTGTTTATAAAATAAGATTCAAAATTAGCATCAACATGAGAGATGAGGAATAAATTAGTTAAATGTTTGGTGACGGAAAATTTTGTTAACGCAATTTTTTTTCAGCACTCAGTGAATAATATGTTAAATAGAATTTTAAATTTTAATGATTGGACAGGTAGCAACAATAATGCAACAATTGTCGTAATTTTATTCAATTGCAATTAAATTATTTTTATTTTGTTTACAAATTGATGTAAATAATGCCTTTAAAAATTTCTTAATTTCCTTATCTTATCAATAATTAATGGAAATTTTAAAATATTACACAAAACATTATTGTTACCCTTACAGTAAATGTAAGTTTCCAATACGATAAACGATGAATGACTAAATTGAAGATTTTGTGAAGTTTAAGTTTGTTCGTAATATTATCGCTACACCACTTTCATTTCTATTTACTTTCGGATTTAATTCCTTTACCATTGGGATTTAATTCTTTCTCACCATTGGGATTTAATTCCTACAAATTTGAATACTATCATAAAAGTAGAAAAAAAAAAAATAATAACAATCAAAGATGCAGTCATATGAAATTTTACTTATATCATTTAAAAGCTCAAATAGATCATTAAATAAAACGACGAAAAAACATCATCCCTAACATTATACACATAAAGACAACTCAATTTAAGTTTAATTAAATTAATCAATTTTGCATTATTAAATCAATTAATTTATCAATTTGCTACAATTAGCAATTATCAATAAGGTTAGTCCAGTCTTACACTATTAAATGATAACAACTTAATCAATAGCTATGTATAAATAAAGTTACGTTAAACAATTCCTTTCTTCTCATTTAAAAATTGAAATTTAATATTCTTCTTACAAATCAAAAAGACTTATAAACATACTCATGAATGGTGAAAGTTAAAATTCCGAAGAATTTTCGAAAAAAAAAGTGAAAAGGAAAAAATAAGGAAGCATTTTATTTCCTCCGCTCTTCGCTCTTACACGGATAGCATTGGGGCGCTAATGTCTCTAGAGAAATTCTTCCAATATTTTAAAACATTTTTATTCTGATAATGCACCAACAATATGTAGATGGAAAAAAAGAAAACGAAATCTCATTTCTTTACTGCATTTTATCGTTTTTTTTTTCTCGCAGTTTTTTGTTTTAAATTATAATAATATGAATTGGCTCTTTTTTCTAACAATAAAGAGAGAGAGAAAGAGAGAGCGAGAGAGAGAGGGAGAGAGGGAAAAAAAGTGAGGAATTATGAGTGTATTTTATGGATAAAGTGATAAAAACTTCAAATAAAATCAGTAAGTAAATGTAAATGATTGACGAACTAACTGATATACTTAAAGTTATGGTCAACTTATTCCAAATTAAATTATGTCAAAAGGAAAATTTCGCATTTTCCAACCTTTCTT